CTCACTCGACGGGACCCGGCTACATTTTCAAAGTTAACGAAGTCAAAACCTTTGCAAGAAGTGACAACCGCGTGAGCCGCGAGCTGCTTCAGTCATAGTTCTCGGGCCCACAGTCAATCAACAAGCGCAATGAGACTTTGCCTGAGCAGGAGAATCAGTCACGTGGAGAGGGCGCGGTCCAGCAACAATTTTGGTGATAGCGAGGCTCATTATCGGGTAATTACCAAACCAACATCCAACACGGACGATGAAATGACGGTAGTCAGTGAACCGGAAGCGAGCTGCAAAGCCATCAATCACAACCCCGAGCAATGATCACGGGAGCAGCTAACTGTATTGCGTATGCAATCGCGTAGCCGCTATGGACAACAAACAATGTGTATTCTGTACATTTGTCATTTGGGTTCGAGCCAGACCCCGAGACGTCAGGACGTTCACTGGTCGGATTACGGGACCGATCATCCTGTTGTGCTCTGGGGATTTAGCTAGATTACCACAGGCATTCGCAGAGCGACTAATAATATAGGCGGGCGGTAGTTAACCACCGTTGAATGTCACTCGTAAAGTGTGGACAGAACTATTTTCACTTTCACGTTGAAAACGGAAACGAACCAACATACGACAGTTGCATTCACTGATCTGTCTGCACTTCACGATATATTTTGCCTTGGAGCTCTGGCCTTCGAATACTTCCACCTGCAGCTTATGGGGAGTGCATGCGTGAAGTAGTGATGGAGCGCTTGACCCACGTTCAATTATCAAGGAGTCGAGGTGGAACCCGACTCCTCCGGGCGTGGAGTTTTGTATAGCTAACTAGTGACAATCAAATAGACAGAAATTGCTACTTTAGCCCCTACTGTTACATTTATAGTACTTCACTATTAGGAAATATGCAGGCAAAACATCACACGTTACAATAGGATACCAAGACTGAAAGATATGAAATCGTCATAAATTCGCCGAATGTGCGCAGTCTATCGTTACAATAAACTTTCCAACGTAGAGTAAATCAAGTATTTGACACTACAGTCTCGACGCCTACCGCGTGCCTTATGGAATAAGCACAAGGACGGTAATTCACGCATAACTTAGTCTTTACTGAGGCGAACTTGCGGAGCAT